GCCCCCGTGGGGAACCCGGCGCTGCCCGGGGGGCTGTGCGGCGCCGGGACCCGCCCGCGTTGTCTCCTGGCGTCTGAGGAGAATAAAGGGGGCGAAGGAAACGAGCCGCTGGTGCGCGGGCCGCCAGGAGGCGACGCGGGGGGGAGGGGTGCAGCACTCCGACTGCGCCGCTGGGACGGAGCCGGCCAAGCACAGGGCAAAGCCGCTTCTTCGAGCGGCCAGTGACATGATTGAGGCTGCCGACCCCCACAGCCTTTCTGGCTCTGTCTCCACCTTGCAGTTGGTCCAATGAATGATCGTCCCTCCCCCAAGGAATCTGCTTTTCTCTTCCCCCCCCCCCCAGCATCGCTCTGGCTGCCAGGCCAATTGTGCGTTTTCCTGGTTTTTCTCAAGACCAGCTTGAGAGAGCCTCCTTCTACCACGAGAGCCTCCACCTACCACGGGCTGGGAGCCTGCACCTTTGAAAAACATGATTGTGGGGTTCAGGGCTCGTGGTAGAGCTGATACCTTTTATTAGACCAACAAGATTTTTGCCAAAAAAAAAAATTCTTTCATTGCAAGCTTTTGGGCACAAACACCTTTCATCAGGCATTGGAGAAAAGATTGAAAAGTTCTTTTGGCTAGGAATGAAAGTTTGTATTTCATAGGATTTCACAGATCACAGAGGAGTCCATAGATGAAAAACTCCTCTGGGCAGGCAGGTCTTAGCTGGCTAAGAGTCTCTGCCCTCTTTTGTGAGGCTCTGTGATGATGCAAATTAGCTTGAGCAAAAGCAAGAGCAGTATCTCAGGTTTCAGGTGGTCACAGTTGCTTCCTCTTTGGGGAAAATATGAAGATTTCATTTCAAAATTGACTAAAATTTGATAACTTTCGTGTGTCAGGTTTTGCAAAAATCTTGTTGGACTAAAAGATATCACCTCTACCATGAGCTCTGATTGCTTTTTCCTCTATACCAATATGGCTATAGCCTGGATGCCTGCTTGTGGGTTAGCATAACAGTAGAAGGGGGTCACTTTAAAACGGTTATTTTGGGGGCTTGCTGCATTTCTGACAGAGCCCTTTAACTTTTTCAATACAAGAATGAGAGGCCAGGAATTGAAAAGTCATAGGCTTCAAACCTATGGAGGCATTGTAAGCAGCGCATGTAATGAGACTTAATTAAAGTTGTACTAGATCTTATCTTCTGTTGCTCATGGCTTGGCCAAATACTCAGGCTCAGTTTTTCTGAAAGGTGCGTTTGCCTTCAGCTGGATCGTTTCTAAAGTCCTGTTTGAAATGCTGGAGCTGTTTCAGAGAGCTGAGTTAGGTGGGGAAATCTATTGCTTTGGTTATATTAAAAAATAAAACTTACAAGCTATTAATCAGTGATCTCAAGAATCTCTACTCATTTAGCATCTCATTGCTACCTGGCTGCTACCCTGTGATGCTGTGAAAATAAACTTATTAATATTTGTAGAAAAACTAAAATGAAACAGCAAAAGCACTGGAGAAAATTCTGCAAGCAAATGAAGATTTTTGTGGGTTGTAGCTGAGGAAGACCTGACAACAAAGGGTACTGTGGTTCCTAAATCTCCTCCATGTCCCTTCCAACTATACAGTTGGTCCAATAAAAGATACCACCCACAAAAATCTTTGCTTCTCACATTTTTCCTGGGCCATCACAGCTACAAAATCACCCCAGCACTATTGCAAATAAATTATTGCCCCTTACGACTGCTTTTGGATTCAGTAAATAAGGCACAGGGCATTGCACGATAAGGAAACAAAAACACAGAATAGCTGCAAATGCAGAGTGTTGGTCATTCTGTGTGAAATACAGGGGTCTGTAGAAAAATGTTTTCTGATAATGGAATGAAATAGGAATGCATAATGCATGCACACGAGGGATCAAAGTAATATTTTACAGGCAACATTAGCTTTGGCATTTCCTAACTTCTTGGTGCTTGATTTTGTAATTTGTCTATGTGCATAGCATATATATCCTTAACTGTTGTAAGTCAGAGATGTAAGCTGTGGGTCAAAGGAAGTAGAACCATATAACACATTTGCAAAACTTAAAAAATGATTGTAATATGTTACATACCAGTTAATCACTTTTGGGACATGTGTAACTTAAACTTCTGTAATGCACAGCATTGAACAGTTAATAGAGTTTTTTGGGGTTTTTTTTAGCTTTCATTGTGCATCAGATACTGAACACTATTGTGGACACGGTGGAAAAAGTTTTTGGTCCTATCTTTTTGTCAGTTCAATGAATACTATTTTCTACATGATAATTTGGAGTTAACGTGTTTGGTAGTTGAATCCCATAAGAGACATTTAAAACCAGAGTGGCCAAATCACCAGGGGCCAACCATCTTCAGCATAAAATAAACAACATGCCATACTAACTTTTATGGCTCAGTGGTCTAGAATCATTCATTCAGATAGTTTTTTTCCTTTCTGTTTGGTACCTGAGTTACTTGAATGTTAATATAAAATATTAAAATATCATTGGTTTGAGACTTTTTGGAAGGTGGAAGGAGTTTTTTTGTATATATCATATTAAGGCTGGTGAGAGAGCCCGAGTTGTAGAAGTACCTAAAGTATAGCTGATTCACCTACTAAAAGCAAAGTTATAGCATGGACACGTGTTGCTTTTCCCAGGTCTATAAATATCTATAATGTCATCTTTTGGGAGAAAGAAATCATGTAAAATATTTTTATATTGCATTTGTTTTCCTGGTTTGGAACTTCAAAACGTGCACAAAAACACTTGCTTATTGTATGGCAATGTTTACTGCAGAGTACCATTTTTATTTTAAAACTGGAACATTCGGCTCACATTTGACTTAGTCACTTGAGGCAAGACCTCTATTTTTTGCCTGTAGGGTACTGTGCACACAAATGGTTTCATTTAACAATCATTTCTTAGCTGAAGAGTTATTTATG